AGGCTGCCCCTCCCCAGGGCTCCCATTGCCTGACTCTGGCCTTTCGCCCCATGCTCCTCCCGACGCAGACATGAGCGCAGATTTTGGAGCACTCGCCTGGCCTTGGGCTGCTGGTGCGCGAACAGGTGGCAGGGTGGGAGCTGCCTACCCCTCTCCAGTGGAGCTGGGAAGCAGACCCTGCCCTGCGCTGCCGGCCTGGCACAGTGCCCCTCCCCAGGGCTCCCATTGCCTGACTCTGGCCTTTCGCCCCATGCTCCTCCCGACGCAGACATGAGCGCAGATTTTGGAGCACTCGCCTGGCCTTGGGCTGCTGGTGCGCGAACAGGTGGCAGGGTGGGAGCTGCCTACCCCTCTCCAGTGGAGCTGGGAAGCAGACCCTGCCCTGCGCTGCCGGCCTGGCACAGAGGGGTGGGGAGGCTGGAAATGGGGCAGCCTTGGCAGCAACCGGCTGGCCGTGGCCCTCTGCTATTGGGCTGTATCCACCTGAAGCCTGGCCCCTGCTCCTACAGGACTCCGGTCCCTGCCCACAGCATCACGACCCAGCCCCAAGCGTACAGCAGGAAACAACCCTCCCGCTGCTCCGGCCTCCCTGCCCCCAGGAAGGAACGTGCACGGGGGCCCCAGGTGCCCCCCAGCCCTGCTCACCTCCTGCAGGACCTGCACCAGTTCGCCGACCTTCAGCTGCAGCTCGTCTGGCTTGTCCGGGGTGTAGCTGAAATGCACCTTGCACCAGCGCTGCCCTGGCACTGGCTGCTTCTTAGGCACGTCAGGCGGGCACAGGAGACTGGGGGACAAGCTCAGCAACCGGCCCCCACTCCCTGGGCTGGCACTAGGGCGAAGCGGGGTCCCAGCATCCCTCCGTGCGGCTCTCTAGGACCTCGCCCACCCTGGGATTCCCCCTCCACACCCTGGTAACCCCAGGAATGGGGCTGGCCCCCAGCAGCGTGTCAAACTGCCCCCCCCTCCCCCGAATGCTGCCCTGCGCGCCACCATCTCAGCTCTCACTCAACAGCCAGGGCTCCAGCAAAGGAGAGCTTGAAAGCCTGGAACGAACGGGATGCAAGGGGGCCAGCCTGCCTGACCCAGCAGACAGCTGGAAAGACGACCTCAGA